AAAAATATAGATCCATCACGTTGACAAGCAGATGAGAACCCCAATGAGACAAAGTAGACTATGGTCAATCCACAGCTGGATGAAGGCATCCCAATGCTGTGTGGATCACACGGCGTTGTCTGAACGTGATACTTCACCACCCCGGTCAGTGCAGTGCAGGCTGGTGATGGGAGGGTGGGGGGGTGGGGGTGATGGGAGGGGGGAGAGAGGAGTGTGGGGGTGGAAGGGTTGCTCAGGACTGGTTCAAATGTCACACTCATCGTTGATGCGAGCCGTGGCTGGGAATCCAACTTAGCAAAACAGTAAAAGAGCGACGCGCGTAGAAAGGCCCGCAGACCGAGTTGGCCAACGTGTCACAAAAAAAAGACTGGGCCACAGAGCTTGGCCCGATGGTTGTTGGGGCCGCTTCTCGCCGCCCTCCCGAATGTTAACGAGGAGTGCTCGTTTTACTCAGACGCTCCCGCCGGTGTCGAGGGGGAGGCTCTTACGACCACTCGGAAGTCCTCCAGCCTCTTGAAGCTGCGCAGGTATTCCTGCAGCCGCGCGTCCGTGTCCACGTGCTTGGCCTGGGAGTACTTGAGGTAGGCCCAGAACTTCTCCAGTCCGTACAGCTGGCCTGTACACACGCATGCGTGTGTGTGTGTATGTATTCAAACACACGCAATACTTAATAAAGTTGTTTGGGTTCGATCGCGTCAATATAAATGTGTTGTAACCCTCCGCCACCCGGTAAGGTTTGTCACCTAAACAACTCGCCAATAAGTTGATTTAGCCCACCGGCGTGCTGGGGAGAAATTCCACAAATTTTTGCTCGATGATGCTGGTTGATGTAATTACCAGCGAAACGGCACGCTACTCAAATTCTAAATGTTGTGGATTTACTCTCCAACACACCGGTGGGCTGAAGTAGTTATACTACAATATACACTATACTACTATACACTACACTATACATTATACTACTATAAACTACACTATACACTACACTACTATACACTATACAAAACCTTACTGGCTTACTGGCTGTGTCGGGTGGTGGAGGGTTACGACACATTTATGCTTACGCGATCCAAAACCTTTATTATGAATATTGGCAGTGAAAGCTTACATGTTAAAACACACGCAATACATTCGCTCACAGCCAATATAATGCGCGTGCACACACAGGTGTGTGCACCTTCAATTAAGCACGGTTGGCTATGCACGGTGCGAAAGAAGTTCGACATACCTACGAAGACAGAGATCCTCCATATAGCCTGAATAGACTGTTGGAGCAAATGAATGCCGGCACAACACACGAGGGGGTGGGTGGCCAGCACCACGCCCGGCCGTCTTTGTCTCCAGTGTGGCGATGTTTGCGCATCACACCAGGCACTTATTTGAGTCAATCTCGGGGAGGCCCAGTACCGATTCAGACAATCACTGGTGTTGTTGGCCGTGAGCGGGAATCGAACTCGGGTCACCGGGTTCATAGTGCAGCGTGCAAACCGCTACACCACCGCACACACGTACAAAGATCTCCCCTTTAGTCGTACAAACCGCTGGGGCAAGTGCAGTTAGTGAACACCTATTAAGGCCGGCATGGCGCACTAGGGAGTGGTGTGGTAAGGACCACGCCCGGCCGCATTTGCCTCTCTGACACACTGCACCACGTACTCGTATAAGGCCGAGTTGACCTATCGGCGGCCCAGGACCGGTTCACGTATTCCCCAATGATCTTACCCGCCGACCAGGAATCGAAGACAGGTCACTGGGTTGATAGCGCAGTGCGCTAACCACTACACTACCTCTCCGCCACACTGCCTGTTGACAAAAGACAAAGATCATCCGTATAGCCTTAACAGACTGTAGGGGCAAGTGCTGTTAGCGAACACCTTTGAAGGCCGGAACGGTCCATGAGGGGGTGGGTGGCCAGCACCACGCCCGACCGCCTTTGTCTCCCTAGTGGCAATGTTTACTACACCGCACCAGGTACTCATTTGAGGCTGAGTCGACCTAGGGGAGGCCCGGGACCGGTTCAGATAATCGTCACTGCTGTTGGCCGTGAGCGGGAATCGAACTCGTGTCACCGGGTTCACAGCGCAGCGTGGCGCTAACCGCTGCACCACCGCTCCCCACACACGTGCGCACATGCAGTCACCCCACACAAGCACGCACAATTATCTGGCCAACTCCTTGTGAGTGCCGTGAGCAGGCACTGAAGGAGCTGGGCGGGTGGTGGGGACTGGTGGCAGTAAGTGCGCTGCGCTACGGACCCGGCGACCCGAGTTAGATTCCCGCTTACGGCCAACAACACCAGTGACGATTATCTGAATTGGTCCTGGGCTTCTCCTATGGGGAGCGGTAGTGTAACGGTTAGCGTGCTGAGCTATGAACCCGGCAACCGGAGTTTGATTCCCATTTACGGCCAACACCGGTGACAATTATCTGAATCGGTTCCCGGGCTTCCCCTCGGCCGACTGAAATGAGTACCTGGTGCGATGTGTAAACGTCGCCACGTGGGAGACAAAGTTGGCCGGGCGTGGTGCTGGCCACCCACCCCCTCGTGTGCCGTGCCGGCCTTCACAGGCACTGCTCGCTAACAGCACTTGCCCCGACAGTCCATCAAGGCTACGCGGGGGATTCACAATTCATAATAAAGCCTACGTGTTAAACTACGCGGGGGATCTTTGTCCTTGGCGGCTACGCTGCCGCATGCGGCTGCACTGTGGAGCCATTTTAGTCGACAGATCGTCGACTCGGTCCGTGGGCTGGATATGAAAGTAGACCTGGAGCAACAACCCCTACGCGCGCAAGAGGAGAAAACGACGACGCGCCGGGGAAACGTTTTACCGCTCCAAAGGCGGCAACCACGCACGGGTGCACACCTCTAGTCGCGCCGCCCTCTCCATGCCAGGCCAAACGCCTCTCAACCCCGCCGGCCATGCCCGCCGGCAGACGCACCAAAGGGGTGACCCGTGACCCGTGACCTACGACCCGTGACCCGCGATCCCATGTCCCGTGACCCGCGACCCCGCCCCAGCAGCGCACCTGCTTCGTAGTCGCGAACCGTCTCCGCCTGGAAGTCTTGGAATATTTCCACCCGGAATTTCTTCTCCAGCCCGTAGCTGTAGAACCTGAAGAGGCACTCCAAGCCGTACCTGCGGAAGGAGCCACGGCGAGGGTGTGGGCGGCGCACGGGGGACAGGGGGGTACGAGACGAGGCCTTGAGCTCTGACGCGCCCCGCGGATTCACGCAGCTGGCAAATGTTTCCCCCCCCACCTCCTTCTCCCTCACCCGATTTTGGAGGATTTAAAATTTCAAATGTTGCCAATGTCCCCACGAAGGAGACACAACGGGAGGGGGGGGTGGGGGGGGGTGCTGCTGGAAGCGCGAGGCGTGTTCCTGAATCCGATCCGAACCGGATTTTCTTTTGGCTCGGCCGATTCACCGAGCGATCCGCGTGAACGGACACTCCCGCTTTAGCAGCACCGCCGGTGCGCTGCCGAGTGATCCAACGCACGTTTAAGAACGGGATTCGTTCACGTGACAACCGTTGGCTGTTGGGTGGAGGAGGCTGTACAACACGCACTTACTTCGGCAATCCGATCCAAAGTTATGATTGCGCATCACGCGCATGCCGCTCGCCGGTCAAGAGTCCCTGCGAGTCAAGTGTACTTGAAGCAGACTGTGCAATTTGACACAAGACAGTAACTTCGCTTACGATCGAATCTCCCGGCATGCGCCCAATACCATCAAACCTCGGAAGCAAAGCAGGGCGAAGCCTGCAAAGCACTTGTACGTTGGTGACGACCGCACACAGCAGACTGCTACAGGCTGCTGCTGCTGTGGTGCTACACTGCGGAGAGCGGAGGGCAATGCAACAACATCCATCGTTGTACTGTACCGCGCTCCCCAAGTTATATCGCTCCCTTCCAAACCCACGCCAGACGGCGTGGCGAGGCCCTCATCCAGCGGTGGACTGACAAAGGGCTGCACGTAGGCCAAATAAAACCGCGAGGCGCGTGGGTAGCATCTAGAAGCATCCAGCAGCATCCCAGTGCCTTGTTGTGCGAGGGTGCGCCAGGGCAGCCAGACGCCGTAGTCTCCGTTCGCTCGATCGAGTCGCATCCAATTTGCGTCCGAGGTGACGAAAAAAAAAGCGTTCCCCGACCCATGAGCCATCGCCTTGCATCCAATTCGCGTCGTGAAAGCAACAACGCGGCGTTGCAGCACACGGACCTCACTTGGAAAACTTGGTGAACCCCAAGTACAGCTCTCGGATAACCGGCACGTTCGAGTAACCGGCGCGATCCACGCACCGCGGATGCCAGGCAACAGGGATTTTTTGACCGCAGGTCTTAAAATCACGATCGTGACTGAGAACGGCATGCGGTACGAGCGACCGGCATCCTCGGTCGGCTTCGTTCTCCACTGGCCGCGCGCCCAAGGAAGAGTGAAAGAGCCGCACGGGAAGACGACGCGTGATGGGGCAAGGAATGCGCACGTGGATTTGATGGCCCCCCTCCCGAGGTCAGGAGCGAGTGAAGAATGAGGAGCGGGTAAGATGGCAGACCCCCAGTTGTGTCAAAGGCAAAGATCCACCCGCGTAGCTTTGACAGCGCTGTTCGCGAGTAGCAAGCAGCCACGAAGGCCGGCACGCCACGCGAGGAGGTGGGTGACCAGCACCACGCCCCCGTGGCGACGTGCAGATGTCGCACCGGGTACTCATTTGAGGCCCAGGAGCGGTTCAGAAAATTTGTCACTTCGTTGAGCTATCGTTTGTGGCCAGGTGGCTTCTGGTAATAATAAGAGCTATGTGGCAGCTCATTGAGCCTTTACTGGTAACATAACTATGGTAAAAATTGGTAAATAGTGTAAGTTGTACGGCTCGGTGTGCCTTACCTAGTAAATAAATAAAAACACAGCTTTTTTGGGGAGGTTAAATCGCGTAAATATTTACACGATATAACCCAAAAAACCTGTGTTATGGAAAAAAAACTTTACACGATCTAACCCAAAAAAACGTGTATTATTGACATATTTTTTTAATGCGCTATAACCCAAAAAACCTGTATTATGGATATATGTGTTTACGCGATCTAACCCAAAAAAACCTGTATTATGGATGACATTGGTTGCGAAGGCCTCCTACATGTTAAAGCAAACATTTTTTTTCAAGATTACCTGTATCCCTCCCTCGCCTCCTCCAGCGCCAGCTGCCGGAACTCCTCGTACATGCGGCGGTTGAAGTGGTCGCGCAGGAAGAACGACCAGAAGCGGAAGAGCGTGTTCATCTCCTGAGACTGGCCCACGCCAAGTCGCTTGCGCTCTGCAACCCACAAGGACAACAAACTAAACACAACAACAAACAGCAGTTCTAAAGCAATGAGTTCATCACTCTCGATGATTGTGTAAAAGTACGCAGCTCCAGTGGGCTTCCTAATATCGGAAGAAGCGCACCTGAAAGCGCCGCGCGATGCGGTGGCCACCGTCCTTGTTCGATGGCCAGCCAAAAGCTGCCGCGCCGTCGCCGCTGCGAGGATGGGAAGCGGCCAGCGTGCGGCTGCCCTGCTGCCTTGCTACCCTGCTGCCTTGCTGCCTGGCTGCCCTGCTGCCTGGCTACCCGGCTGCCCGGCTGCTATATCAGGGTTGGGATCCGGTGGCGTTGCTCACCGTTGAGGCACTTGCGGTGGTACTTGTGGTAGACCTGCTGCGTGAAGCCGCTGTCTTTGAGCAGCTCGTGAGACGGGTGCTGGAACTTGGGCAGCGACTGCGGCGTGCCACTCTGGCTGCCCGGGGCCGGCGTCCCGACGCCATCCGCGGGGCTGGCGCTCGCGCTGCGACAAAGACAAAGATCCCCCGTATAGGCTTAACGGACCGCCGGGGCAAGTGCTGTTAGCGAGCAGCACCTATGAAGGCAGGCACGGCACACGAGGGGGTGGGGTGGCCAAAGCCACGCTCGGCCGCCTTTGGTACTCATTTGAGGCTGAGGCGACCAAGGGGAGGCCCAGGATCGGTTTAGATAATTCTCACTGATGTCGCCCATGACTGGGAATCGAACTCGGGTCGCCAGGTTCGTAGTGCAACGCGCAACTCGAGCGGCACAGCCCTGAGCAATGACGCGATCTTGTGTCTGCATTCCTGGCACTATGGCCCTGTGACCCCGCAGTGACCCCGCAGTGACCCCACAGTGACCCCACTGCGACCCCGGTGCAACCCGGCTGTGACCCCGCTGTGACCTGGCTGTGACCCCGCTGTGACCTGGCTGTGACCCCGCTTCGACCCCGCTGTGACCTGGCTGTGACCCCGCTGTGGCCTGGCTGTGACCCCACTGTGACCTGGCTGCGACCTGGCTGTGACCCCGCTGTGACCTGGCTGTGACCCCGCTGTGACCTGGCTGTGACCTCGCTGCGACCGCGCTGTGACCTGGCCGTGACCCCGCTGTGACCTGGCTGTGACCACACTGCGACCCCACTGTGACCTGGCTGCGACCCCGCTGCAACCTGGCTGTGACCCCGCTGTGACCTGGCAGTGACCTGGCTGTGTACCCCGCTGTGACCTGGCTGTGACCCCGCTGTGACCTGGCTGCGACCCCGCTGTGACCTGGCTGTGACCCCGCTGTGACCTGGCTGTGACCCCGCTGTGACCTGGCTGCGACCTGGCTGTGACCCCACTGTGACTGGCTGCGACCCGACTGTGACCTGGCTGTGACCTGGCTGTGACCCCACTGTGACTGGCTGCTACCCCACTGTGACCTGGCTGTGACCTGGCTGTGACCTGGCTGTGACCCCACTGCGACCCCGCTGCGACCTGACTGTGACTCCGGCTGCGACCCCCCTGGACGCACCCAGCGGCCGAGCCTCGTGGCAGGTGCTCGCGCGCGTCCATCACCCAGCCCACGTGGCTCTCCAGCGGTGGGTTCGTGCTGTGCCGCGTCTTCTTCTTGCGAGGGGTCTGCGGCGGGGAGGGAGGGAGTTTTATTGTGAATATTACCATAGAGAGAAGGGGGGAGGCCTTCATCCGGCAGCGGATCGTCAATGACGGCGGATGATGAAAGCTTATCGTGCGCCTTCCTGCACCGCAGCCTCAAAACAATCGCAGCCTCACGGATATTTTGGGGAGCCACAAACCGCCGGACGAAGGCATCCTCACGCCTCGCCGGTCGCGGGGACTGAGCGCAGCCAGCGGAGTGTGCTGGCAACGTCCGCACGTCTGCGAGGACAAATCTCCCCCATGGAGTCTTAACAGGCCGTCGGGGGGGGGGGCGAGTGCCGCGAGCGAGAATCTACGAAGGCCGGCACGGCACACGAGGAGGGGGCCAGCACCACCCACGGCCGCCTTTGTCTCCCCCAGCGGCGATGATTACTACACACCGCTCCGGGTACTTATTTGAGACCGAGTAGAAATAGGGGGAGGCCCAGGGACCGGTTCGGATATTCGTCACCGATGTTGTCCGCGAGCGGGAATTGAACTCGGGTCGCCGGCCCCGGAGCGCAGCGTCGCTGCTCCCCATTACGACCGCGACGCGCTGGGCGCCACTGCCCCACCTGGTTGTCGATGGCGCGGCCCTCCTTCACCACGGGGTAGAAGCGCGGCGTCTTGCCGGGGTCCATGACGCGGGGGGTGCGCGGAGTGCGCGGAGTGCGCGGAGGCCTCCTGGCCGGCGACTCCGGCACGGCCGTGGGGAGGGAGCGAGCCAGGCCGGGAGATGGGGGCCCGGCGGCGCCGAACAGACGCGTCGCCAGCTCGTCTGTGGGCGCTGCGGGCGCGAGCACACGACCACATGACCACGCGAGCACGCTACCACTCGACCACATAACCACTCGACCACTCAACCATGCGACCACTCAACCACTCGACCACATGATCACATGATCACATGACCACTCGACCACTCGACCACTCAACCATGCGACCACTCCACCATGCGACCACTCAACCACTCGACCACATGATCACATGACCACTCGACCACGCGGCCACATGACCATACAATCTCATGACTCCTCGACCACTCGACCACAAGAGCGCACCGAGCGCCGGGGACGTCACCGACCGGCGGCGACGCCGTGACCTCTGCCACGGCGTCGTCGCACACGATGGCTAATGCCAGCCTGATCGGCAAGGTCGCCGGGCGACTGACAGCGCCGGCACCACCGTCGCCACCACTATGACACGACCTAAATTACACTATATTCTTGGTTCTTTCGGTAAAGTCATGTAGAAGGGAAATAATAAAATAATACAAAGTAAAACAATAATCCCTGCAGTCACAAAAGCTTTAAATCGAAACTAAATTACACTATGTAACACAATTTTTGTTCCTGTGTAGTAAGTGTTATTTCGCAATTGCTTATGCCTAAAAAGTATAGAAAATGGCTATTATTCCCCACAAACTTTGCTTTTGTGACCAGGACAGTGATATTTTGAAATGTACCTATTTTCAATGGGAAAACAGGCGAATGTGTATTTTCGTTCATATAAAGTCAGAAAAAACAACATGTGTAGTGAAGTAAATGATACGCATAGGTAAATTGGCCACAAACAGTACATATAGACATACAAGCAGAGTGGGTCACATAAGGTCAATCAGGTGGTCGAGTCACGGGTGGCGTAAACAAACCGAAGTAATTAAAGGAGTCATGGCACGAGGGCTGTGATTGGTTGAGAGGCTGTTAGCGTTAAGTGGCGGCGTGGCGAAGTCTGGCCGTTGGACAGGTGCGAGCTGGTGGGAAAATGCCAGTGAGCCACGTGGCAATTAATTAAGGCTAATTGAAAAGGGGATAAAACGCTAGGTGATTTGAACGGAGGGCGGAGTTGTTGTTGGGCAGTTGTTGGCGAGAGGTGGAGAGATACGAAGAGGAGAGCTGGCAAATGTTAGGGAAGAATAGATTGAGAGCAGAACCCAAAGGACAGTAAATAGCGATAGGGAGAGTTAGCGTTAGCGGAGAGGTAGTTACGGGGGATATAGGTAGAGGGAGAGTTACAGATAGAGTCACTGTGTGTGCGGAGATAGATAGAGTCACTGTGTGTGAATAGACAGACAAGTCACTGTGTGTGCGGAGATAGATAGAGTCACTGTGTGTGAATAGACAGACAAGTCACTGTGTGTGCGGAGATAGACAGAGTCACTGTGTGTGAATAGACAGGCAAGTCACTGTGTGTGCGGAGATAGAGGAAGTCACTGCGTGTGAATAGACAGACAAGTCACTGTGTGTGCGGAGATAGATAGAGTCACTGTGTGTGAATAGACAGGCAGGTCACTGTGTGTGCGGAGATAGAGGAAGTCACTGCGTGTGAAGAGATAGCGGAGACACTGCGTGTGAGGAGATAGAGGGAGAATCACTGTGTGTGGAAGGAGGATGAGCGGACGGTGCTGAGGTGAATCGGAGTGTCCGAGTTGGCGGAGCGCGAAGAGGAGAATCACTGTGTGTGTGTGTGAAACTATATAGTGTGTGTGTGTGTGTGAAACTATATAGTGTGTGTGTGAAACTATATAGTGTGTGTGTGTGTGAAACTATATAGTGTGTGTGTGAAACTATATAGTGTGTGTGTGTGTGAAACTATATAGTGTGTGTGTGTGTGAAACTATATAGTGTGTGTGTGTGTGAAACTATAGAGTGTGTGTGTGTGAAACTATATATAGTGTGTGTGTGTGTGAAACTATATATAGTGTGTGTGTGTGTGAAACTATATATAGTGTGTGTGTGTGAAACTATATAGTGTGTGTGTGTGAAACTATATAGTGTGTGTGTGTGAAACTATATAGTGTGTGTGTGTGAAACTATATAGTGTGTGTGTGTGTGAAACTATATAGTGTGTGTGTGTGTGAAACTATATAGTGTGTGTGTGTGAAACTTTATATAGTGTGTGTGTGAAACTTTATATAGTGTGTGTGTGAAACTATATAGTGTGTGTGTGTGTGTGAAACTATATAGTGTGTGTGTGTGAAACTATATAGTGTGTGTGAAACTATATAGTGTGTGTGAAACTATATAGTGTGTGTGTGTGAAACTATATAGTGTGTGTGTGTGAAACTATAGAGTGTGTGTGTGTGTGTGAAACTATATAGTGTGTGTGTATCTGTGTGTGTGTGTGAAACTATATAGTGTGTGTGTGTGAAACTATATAGTGTGTGTGTGTGTGTTTGTCTGTGTGTGTGTGTGAAACTATATAGTGTGTGTGTGTGAAACTATATAGTGTGTGTGTGTGAAACTATATAGTGTGTGTGTGTGTAACTATATAGTGTGTGTGAAACTATATAGTGTGTGTGTGTGAAACTATATAGTGTGTGTGTGTGTGAAACTATATAGTGTGTGTGTGTGAAACTATATAGTGTGTGTGTGAAACTATATAGTGTGTGTGTGTGAAACTATATAGTGTGTGTGTGTGTTTGTCTGTGTGTGTGTGTGAAACTATATAGTGTGTGTGTGTGTTTGTCTGTGTGTGTGAAACTATATAGTGTGTGTGTGTGAAACTATATAGTGTGTGTGTGTGTGAAACTATATAGTGTGTGTGTGAAACTATATAGTGTGTGTGTGTGAAACTATATAGTGTGTGTGTTACTATATATAGTGTGTGTGAAACTATATAGTGTGTGTGTGTGAAACTATATAGTGTGTGTGTGTGAAACTATATAGTGTGTGTGTGAAACTATATAGTGTGTGTGTGTGAAACTATATAGTGTGTGTGTGTGAAACTATATAGTGTGTGTGTGTGAAACTATATAGTGTGTGTGTGTGAAACTATATAGTGTGTGTGTGTGAAACTATATAGTGTGTGTGTGTGTTTGTCTGTGTGTGTGTGTGTGAAACTATATACTGTGTGTGTGAAACTATATAGTGTGTGTGTGTGAAACTATATAGTGTGTGTGTGTGAAACTATATAGTGTGTGTGTGAAACTATATAGTGTGTGTGTGTGAAACTATATAGTGTGTGTGTGTAACTATATAGTGTGTGTGTGTAACTATATAGTGTGTGTGTGTGTGAAACTATATAGTGTGTGTGTGAAACTATATAGTGTGTGTGTGTGTGAAACTATATAGTGTGTGTGTGTGAAACTATATAGTGTGTGTGTGTGAAACTATATATTGTGTGTGTGTGTGTGAAACTATATAGTGTGTGTGTGTGAAACTATATAGTGTGTGTGTGTGTTTGTCTGTGTGTGTGTGTGTAACTATATAGTGTGTGTGTAACTATATAGTGTGTGTGTGTAACTATATAGTGTGTGTGTGAAACTATATAGTGTGTGTGTGTGAAACTATATAGTGTGTGTGAAACTATATAGTGTGTGTCTGTGTGTGTGTGTGTGAAACTATATATAGTGTGTGTGTGAAACTATATAGTGTGTGTGTGTGAACCTATATAGTGTGTGTGTGTGAACCTATATAGTGTGTGTGTGTGAAACTATAGTGTGTGTGTGTGAAACTATATATAGTGTCTGTGTGTGTGTGTGAAACTATATAGTGTGTGTGTGTGAAACTATATAGTGTGTGTGTAACTATATAGTGTGTGTGTGAAACTATATAGTGTGTGTGTGTGAAACTATATAGTGTGTGTGTGTGAAACTATATAGTGTGTGTGTGTTTGTCTGTGTGAAACTATATAGTGTGTGTGTGTGAAACTATATAGTGTGTGTGTTTGTCTGTGTGTGTGTGTGAAACTATATAGTGTGTGTGTAACTATATAGTGTGTGTGTGTGTTTGTCTGTGTGTGTGTGAAACTATATAGTGTGTTTGTCTGTGTGTGTGTGTGAAACTATATAGTGTGTGTGTGTGTCTGTGTGTGTGAAACTATATAGTGTGTGTGTGTGAAGCTATATATATAGTGTGTGTGTGAAACTATATAGTGTGTGTGTGTGAAACTATATAGTGTGTGTGTGTGAAACTATATAGTGTGTGTGTGTGAAGCTATATAGTGTGTGTGTGAAACTATATATAGTGTGTGTGTGTGAAACTATATACTGTGTGTGTGTGTCTGTGTGTGTGTGTGTGAAACTATATAGTGTGTGTGTGTGTGTGAAACTATATAGTGTGTGTGTGTGAAACTATATACTGTGTGTGTGTCTGTGTGTGTGAAACTATATAGTCTGTGTGTGTTTGTCTGTGTGTGTGTGTGTAACTATATAGTGTCTGTGTGTGTGTGTGTACGGAACGATGGAATAAAAGTGACGGTGGAAGAAAGACGGTTGTCGTCCGAGTGAATTCACGGCACTACATATGAATCAAAATTAACAATTTCAAATTATCACTTTCCTGGTCACAAAAGCAAAGTTTGTGGGGAATAATAGCCATTTTCTGTACTTTTGAAGCATAAGCAATTAGGAAATAACACTTACTACCCAGGAACAAACATTTTTTTTGTTACGCAGTGTTATCAACGTCACTGCCACCACGGCCTCCACTGTTATCACCGCCGCCACCACCACCACCACTACCACAAATCATCACAGACACGACCGTAAAGCTACCACACACACCACAGACAGGCATGCATCAAACGAACACTCACGATTTATCGTGATTGGCTTCTGAGGTCTCCTTTGTGTAGTTTTAATTCACTACATTAGCTTAAATGCAGCGCACAATTTTTATAAGTTGTCAACACTATTCCGCCTTCTCGCACGATTCGATACACGCACCGCTCACGAATCGACTGTAATGGACGAACAAATGTTGCTACGTGTCTAATTACAACCGTCACCACCACCAACACCGCTATTACTACAACTGGTATCACCAGTGGCCACCGTCACCATCACTCACCAGCACCACCATGACTACCATTACAACAACAGCCGACATTCGCCACTGAGTGGCGGTGACGTCACCACGGCGCTCGTGCCAGGCTACGTGCACTTTAAGGCCAAGTGAAGTGTCGAACGCCCGCCGGCAGGAGATCACGAGACAGACCCAGCAGGTGCCATGGGTTGACCGACTGAGATGACTGAGATGACTGGCCGATGCACCACCTGTGCCCCCTACTGTGCGTTTTAGCCGTCCGGCACTCCGCTCGTTGTTGTGAGCGTCGCTCCTCTGCCCTCCGTTGTCCAATTGCCCAGTAGCGTCCTTCACGAGCCTCCTCCACAGCGACCGATCTTGACACTGCTGGTACTAGTTATTGGCAAACGACTACCATTGCCACCATTATCACTGCATCACCGCTGTCGCCATTAACACGACCATCTTTTTCGCCCTTTTTCAACCATTCTATCCTGGTTGTTGCAACCAGCGTGACGTCATGGGTTCATCCGCGGGAAAAAAAAGAGCCTCATAAGCTCAACGGATTCCTCTGGTCTAAACCAAGAATCCGATTGTGAAGAATCCGTTCGGATCGCTCGCAGAGCAGAGCAGGGCAACCCTTGCTGTTGAAGAAGCGGACATCACAGAGCCACCACTTGCCCCGAAACAAAGTGCTGCCCCCTGCTGCGTGGATGGTGACATCTCATCGCAGGAGTCAAACCAATAAACAGAGTAGACTCTCGAATATCCGCGCCAATGACGGGGAGGACGGCCGTGGGTAATCGAGAGTCGACTGTATCTTATTCTAGAATTTAGCAAAATTAACCAACCTTAACGCAATGGGGGTTGTTTTTTGTGCCCATCATTGGTGACCGTGCCGAGACCGTGGGCTCCCTGCGCTTGAGAACCCACCAGGTGACCTGCCTGGAATCCAACCTGGAATATCTCAGCTAGGGCCCTGCATCGGTTCAGGTACCCACGGGTATCCAGGTGTGCCCGTACAGCAGGTCGGAACCGAGTGGGGTTTTTAAGGCTTGCTGTTCGTCAAGGAGCATAAACCATCATCACGGAAAATCCTGTCACGGCAGTGGCTTCTGGCTGGCCATAAAACAAAGACGGTGGCCACCGCATCATCGCGCGGCGCTTTCAGATGCGCTTCTGCGGCCGTCTGGAACGCTCTTCCCCTTCCGATATTAGGAAACCACTGGAGCTGCGCACTTTTAGATCATCATCAAGAAAGCCAAAATTATTTCTTACGACTGCTTTTTGTGTTTAGTTTGTCGTCCTTCCCCCTGCACCTCCAATTGGCGCGGTTGGCTACGTACGCTGCCAAGAAGTTCAACACGCGCAGGTACAGGGCAGGCCGTGAAGCGAACACGACGGCACTCAAGCGGCGAGCGGGAAGGGCAGCCACTGGCGTTGCGACCGGCGTAGCGGGGGCGCCCGCCCCGATGCCGCGACTCTCGACCTCGGCGGCGGCGCCAACGCGGCACCACCCCCCGCCACCCACCGCCGTTCCCCCACCGCCGCTGTCACCACCGTTACCACCGTCGCCACCTAACGCCGTCACCGCCACCGTCGCCACTGTCGCCAACGTCTCCACCGCGCCCGCTCGCAATTCAACGGCCGAGATCGGCGCGAGCTCGCGACGACGGGTCGCGAGCAATCGCCAGGAGCCATTCTCAATCCACTGCTGTGCGATGGCCGGTACCTGGCTGCTGCTTTGGGGGGCCCGGGGGCACCTCCTGGTAAGGATCCACGGGAGGCTCGGGAGCCAGGGTCTCGAACTCCTCCTGGCTGATCATGGTGAGCTTGCGGAAGTTTTCAATCTCTTGCTAGAACGGCAAAGATAAAGGTCGCCCGTGTGAGCTCGCAACAGACTACAGGAGCGCTGATGCACTCGCTCACCCGCGCATGTGGTCCACAACATGCAGAAATATTCAATCATAGGCGCCCTCAGAACGACACTTACCACACGCGACGCACTCACTCACATGCCTCCACCAGCGAAACGTCACGGTGCTCAAATTGTAAATGTCGTGGGTGATTTACTCTTCAACACACGGCCGGTGTGCGCGTGTGCTGAACCAGCAACTCATCGGCATCTTTTGTTTGGCGTTGATACAACTTTGCTAAATTAGCCGTGTCGGGTGGTGGCGGGTTTAACGACGCCTTTACAGCACCGCTCGTCATCCTCACCGCCACCACCACCAACAGCATCAACACCACGACAATCACCCAGCGCCACCCGTCCACACCTCTAAAAAAAGAGTTTTATAGCTCATCGGATTCCTCCCGTATAAAACAAATACAGTTGATTATCCGGCACGCGATTATACGGCTGTTTTCAACGTTATCCGGCGGTTCTGGGCCGATCCGGTGAAACCGAAAAAAACGGTCCAAAGGCGGTAACCAGTCCGGCAATCGGCACCGTGTGCGTGACAAAAAAAAAGTAGCTACGCTTGATTTGGGTGTCAAATAGTACATTATACACTACATACACCTTAAACAATGACAATACTGCAAACCGACACACCTGATGATGACCGTTTGAGTTATGGTCGAAACGTCGTGAGAATTTTTTATTGTTTTATATATTTTGTTATTTTGTTGTTTCTCTTCAACGTGACTTTACCGAAAAAACTAAGAATATGAATACTGCACGTGTATACATTTTTCATGATAAAAAACAATACAGACGGTGAGATCCGGCGAAAAGTGCGTTGTCTAATTTGGCATTCGCCGGGAGCACCGCTCTCAAGGCTGCATGAGTCCGCCGGTCGTCAAACTCAAGTGGTTGTGTTGAAACAAGAGCGTAGTGCCGCTACGTACATCATCACCACATGATGCGGAGTCTTCGAGATCGGAGTGGTAAGTACGGTACAGTAAATAGTCACTTTTCACAAGTGGATATTTATTTTTGTCTATTTGTATGTTGATTTATGCCAATTTCATCGAGTAAACACATTTAAAACAATTAAAAACAAAACACGACACTTAAAAACAATATTAAAGAAGAATGTGCAAAAATAAGCTATTTTATTTCATGATGCAGTAATCGTCTCGAGTCTTTGAAATTCCGGCGCCCCCTCCCCCCTCCCCGGAAGCCGCCGGATAATCGACAATCCACCGTATTCCAATTTATGATGCTCGCATTGCCATCGCCACCATCGCCACCACCCCCTCCACCACCACCATCGCCACCACCACCACCCTCCATCGCCACCACCATCACCACCAGCATTGCCACCACCATCGCCACCACCACCACCATCACCACCACCTCCACCATCACCACCACCGCCTCCACCGCCGCTACCACCACCACCACCGCCGCCGCTGCCACCGCCACCACCTCCACCGCCACCACTGCCGCCCCCCCACTCTGACCTTCATCTGCGCGTACTCGGGCTCCATCTCCTCCCTCCACATCTCCTGCTCGTAGTAGTAGAGGCCGTCGTTGATGGCCTTGGCGAGCTCCGACGTGATCTTGGCGCGCGACACGTGGTTGCCCGTGCGGTCGCCGCCGGGGTGGCGCCGCAGGTGGGGCGGCGTCTGCGTCACGATGAGGATCTTGTTGACGTCGCTGTCGTCAATCTCGTAGTCCGAGTCCCAGTCCGAGTCCGGGTCCGTGAAGTGGTTCCGCCGGCCGTCCATCGGCTGCTGCTCCAGGAGCTCCTCGTCGAAGAGGAAGTCGAGCTCCTCCTTGTCGTCGGGACGCTCGCCGTCGCGGTGCGAGCGCGCCTGGCTGGGCGTCTGGCTGCGACTCTGATGATGATCGTGCTGCTGCTGCTGCTTTCTGCTGTGCGAGCTCCGGTGCGAGCTCCGGTGCTCGCGCGATCGGGGAGACGTTCCCTCCGGTGACGTTCGGGAGCCACTGCCGCCATCGGCATTCTGGAGGCAGAGAGAGAGAGAGTTGACGGCGGCGATGGTGATTCATTGGCATTGAAGAGCCCCGGGGATTATCGCCATCCCTCGCCCGCAAGGGGAGGTCGGGGCTCGGGCAACAACGGAGAGACCCACAAAGCGTGGCCGGCCGATTCACTGAAACTATTTTTAACCATTTATTATTCGACCAGGTTTTCAGGCCCACTGGGCGACTGTGTAGCTTCTTCTCCAGACGCGACCTGGCCAGTGGTGTGGTTGGGGAGAGTGGAGTGGGTGGGGAGAGTGGCGTGGGTGAGGAGAGTGGCGTGGGTGGGGAGAGTGGAGTGGGGAGAGTGGAGTGGGTGAGGAGAGTGGCGTGGGTGAGGAGAGTGGAGTGGGTGAGGAGAGTGGTGTTGGTGGGGAGAGCGGCGTGGGTGGGGAGAGTGGCGTGGGTGAGGAGAGCGGCGTGGGTGGGGAGAGTGGAGTGGGTGAGGAGAGCGGCGTGGGTGGGGAGAGTGGAGTGGGTGAGGAGAGTGGCGTGGGTGGGGAGAGTGGCGTGGGTGAGGAGAGTGGCGTGGGTGGCGCGCGTCTCACCGCCCGCTCACGAGCTGGCGAGGGTCGGTGCTTCTTCTTGACCTCGATCCAGGGCTCCGAGTCGAGGTCTGGCAGGCTGGTGGAGAGGCCGCGGGAGAGGGAGCACAGCGGGCCCCCCACGTCGCCAGCGCCTGCCGGGCCGCCGCGGACCGGGCTGGCGCGCGGAGAGCTGGGGGCCGACTCTGTGCACCCGCACGTCACCGCCAGCGTCACCACCGTCACCATCATCATCATCGCCCACGTCACCGCCAGCGTCACCGTAATCATCATCATCATCATCACCCGCGTCACCATCATCATCACCATCAGGGTCACTATCATCACCCACATCACCGCCAGCATCACCGCCATCATAATCACCACCATCATCATCATCAAAGACAAACTTCCCCCTCAAAGCCTGAACAGACTTTTGGGGCAAGTGCTGTTAGCGAGTAGCACATATGAAGGCCGGCACGGTACACGAGGGGGTGGGTGGCCAGCACCACGCCCGGCCGCCTTTGTCTCCCCAGTGGCGATGTTTACACATCACACCAGGTACTCATTTGAGGCTGAGTCGGCCTAGGGGAAGCCTGGGACCAATTCAGAAAATTGTCACCGGTGTTGGCCATGAGTGGGAATCAAACTCGGGTTGCCGGGTTCATAGCTCAGCACGCTAACCGTTACACTACCGCTCCCCATTTCACCACCACCATCATCACCACCACCACCACCATCATACCCATCAGCAGCAGCATCAGCAGCAGCAAAATTTGTCCTCAATGCTGGCGCCCTCCTTCATGGACCTACGATGTCACGTGGACAGAGCTTATTAAAATATTTCACGCGTGCTTTTGAATATTCCCATAAAGTCATATTTTCTCCACAGGGGTCTCCAAATTTTGGACAACACTTCGACCAATTTGCCTGGATTGCTACAAGGCGAGTACCCAATAGAGCGCACTTTTCAATCTTGATTGATTTCAATCTCGATTGAGAAGTCACGTCTTTAGAGCTGCTCTTTGTGTTTAGTTTTGTTGTCCTTCCCCCGCACCTTCGCTACGTACAGTGCGACAGAAGTTCAACACACATACATACATACAGAAGCGTAACTTTACGCCAAAGTTTCGTGAATATTTTGCACCGTGCCAATGCGCTCACGCCTTCAACTTTCAGTTGTAAAACATCGGAACAGAGGACTACTGCCCCATCTGGCCTATACAGGTTGTGGCGGGCGGGTGCCATTAGCCGGGTGGTAGAGTGGCGAGCAATACACATCGTATTGCCCAGTGCCGACGTGTTACCCACCGCGCCACCTGGTGAGCGAGTGAGCGGGCAAGCGTGCAAGTTTAACTAAACTATTAAGGCCCGTTGAGCTATGGAACTCGTTTTCAGAAGCGACCTTGCCACAAATGATAGGTCGGCAAAGTGGCGTGTCATCGCGTGGAGATGTATAGCAGCCAAATCATCAAAATGCATGTTTCTAAACGCGGAGGAAAAAAAACGGAGGACCCGGAGAAAAATCAATAGGACCACGGGAAGAACATGCAAACTCCACATATATAAAGGTGTCAGGGTCGGGCTCGAACCCACGACCTCCTGTATACCGGGTAAGGTAGTTAACATCTCACCACCGTGTGCTTGTGAATAAGTGGATCGGAGCTTGTGTCACGGTAAGGGGGTGCGCGTGAGCGCGAGTGAGCGAGCAACGGATTACACACGTGACCGAGCATGCATCGCGCCAGCGTGTGAGCGTGCCAGCGTGTGAGTGTGCCGGCGTGTGAGTGTGCCAGCGTGTGTGCGTGCCAGCGTGTACATCCCAGCGTGTACGTGCCAGCGTGTCTATGTGTGCCAGCGTGCGCGTGCCAGCGTGCGTGCGCGCGCACCTGTGATGACCCGTGCCGCCTGCTTGGGCACGAACTCGGGGCAGTGCAGTAGGAGGGTGAAGTCGGTGGGGCAGCCCTCGCTGGGGGGTAGGGGCCACACCTCGGGGGCCACGCGGCACCGCAGGCGCCCGTCCCGCATCTCCACCTCCACGCTGTCCTCCAGCGCCTTCAAGCGAAAGAGAGAGAGAGAGAGAACGAGCGAGTGAGCGAGAGAGAACGAGCGAGTGAGCGAGAGGGAACGAGCGAGTGAGCGAGAGAGAACGAGCGAGTGAGCGAGAGAGAACGAGCGAGTGAGCGAGAGGGAACGAGCGAGTGAGCGAGTGAGCGAGAGAGAACGAGCGAGTGAGCGAGAGAGAACGAGCGAGTGAGCGAGTGAGCGAGAGAGAACGAGCGAGTGAGCGAGAGAGAACGAGCGAGTGAGCGAGTGAGAACGAGCGAGTGAGCGAGTGAGCGAGAGAGAACGAGCGAGTGAGCGAGAGAGAACGAGCGAGTGAGCGAGAGAGAACGAGCGAGTGAGCGAGAGAGAACGAGCGAGTGAGCGAGAGGGAACGAGCGAGTGAGCGAGTGAGCGAGAGAGAACGAGCGAGTGAGCGAGAGAGAACGAGCGAGTGAGCGAGAGAGAACGAGCGAGTGAGCGAGAGAGAACGAGCGAGTGAGCGAGTGAGCGAGAGAGAACGAGCGAGTGAGCGAGAGTGAGCGAGAGAGAACGAGCGAGTGAGCGAGAGAGAACGAGCGAGTGAGCGAGAGAGAACGAGCGAGTGAGCGAGAGAGAACGAGCGAGTGAGAACGAGCGAGTGAGCGAGTGAGCGAGAGAGAACGAGCGAGTGAGCGAGAGAGAACGAGCGAGTGAGCGAGAGAGAACGAGCGAGTGAGCGAGAGAGAACGAGCGAGTGAGCGAGAGAGAACGAGCGAGTGAGCGAGAGGGAACGAGCGAGTGAGCGAGAGGGAACGAGCGAGTGAGCGAGAGGGAACGAGCGAGTGAGCGAGTGAGCGAGAGAGAACGAGCGAGTGAGCGAGAGAGAACGAGCGAGTGAGCGAGAGAGAACGAGCGAGTGAGCGAGAGAGAACGAGCGAGTGAGCGAGAGAGAACGAGCGAGTGAGCGAGAGAGAACGAGCGAGAGAGAACGAGCGAGTGAGCGAGCGAGCGACTTGGCATCCAACCAAGCGTCTGCATCCCTCCCTACGTACGGTTCGGAAGAAGTTCGATATAAATACAAAGATCTCCCGTATAGCCTTAACAGACTTTTGGGGGGCAAGTGCTGTTAGCGAGTAGCACCTGTGAAGGCCGGCACGGCACACGAGGGGGTGGGTGGCCAGCACCACGCCCGGCCGCCTTTGTCTCCCCAGTGGCGATGTTTACACATCACACCAGGTACTCATTTGAGGCTGAGTTGGTTGGAGAGCCAAGCCAAAACATATGGCTCTCCAACACACCGGTGTGCCGTACTAGTGACGAATTGGCCACGTTCTGTTGACGTGACAACCCTTACTAGTTGGCTGTGTCGGGTGGTGGCGCGTTTAAACGACACATTTATACATTTACGCGATCTAACCCAAAAACCTCTATTATGGATGATATTGGTCGCGAAAGCCTACGTGTTAAACTGTCTATATGTATGCACCTTTCTTTCCGCCAATTTCAAATAGTAAACTAATTTAAAACGTTAAAACATACACACACTACAGCTAATAACACAATGCTGCGCAAGAACGTGCAAAAACTAAGCTACTTTAAATAACGATGACTAGTGGCGATCATCCGGCGTTGCTGAAAATCTGGTACCCCCTGCCCCTCCTACGGCGCCGGATAACCGATGATCTCCTCCATGATTTCTTATAACGCGACCGTTCCATCACGCGGCGTTCCTCAGGAACGCAAACTGCTACATGCCGCCGCGTTACAGGAGAGAGCATCCCGCTCCGAAAATATTCGACCCGACGGCGCCGGCCGCCTCCGCGGCCGCATCTGGCCGCTCCGGGCACTCCGGCGCCGTCGCGCGGCGCTACCTCCAGGATGAGCTTCACGTCCGTGGTGAGCGTCTGCACGCGGTAGAAGCTGGAGACGAGCGACAGCGGCAGGAAGCCCTGGGGGTCCATCCTCCGTCGCAGGAAGAAGTCCCGTTCCAGGTTCTCCGGGCTGAAGTAGTACTCTCTGTCACGCATGGCACAGCACCGGTACAGTACAGCACCGGGACAGCACAAGGACAGCGCCAGCGCAGCGCCAGCAAAGCACCGGTTGGTTACGCAATGGTGCGAAAGAGGTTCAACGTACACACAGGCAACTCTGGCGATACAGCGTCGCGATTTGATTCTAGTTCTCGCGTGTTTGACGTCTATTTCAACAGCACGGTAAACATCGCGGCCTGCAATTCATTACGGGTTAATTCGGACACCTTGCAGACAACACATCAATTGATAATAATTTACGGCCCCTTTGTCAAGCCACTGCTGGATGAAGGTCTCCCCAAGTTCCGCGCTGATCACGGCAGTGTTGTTTGTCCACGATTAACCACATTGGTCGGATCGGGTTGGTGAACGGGCAGACCCGGGAGCGACGGAGATAGCACTCAGTCAGTGGCGTTGGCTGTGCTTGGGAATAAAACTCGGGCGGGAAGGTTCATCGCGCAGCAACGCCGACCAATCCACCACTGCCGTTTCCCTGACAAGGGGCGCCCGCTGTGGCTAGGAGATGTTAACTACCTCGCCTGGTCTACAGGAGGTCGTGGGTTCGATCCCGACCCCGACAATGCCTGCTGTATATTTGGAGTTTGCGTGTCTTCCTCGCCCCGTGGTCTTGTGGATATTTCTCCGGGTCCTCGGGTTTTTCCCCTCATCTTTTAGAATCAACACCACCACCACGCGGTTAGAGTCATTTGGATGCTGCGATGATGGCAATGATGATACGCCACCAACAACGTTGAGCCATCATTTACGAGAGCCAGGTCGCTTCTGAAAAAGAGCTACGCAGCTCGGCGGGTCTTATCTGCTTAAAAATAAAAAAAAAATACAACAGTTTATAGTTTAAGTTTACGAGCGTAAAACCCTCGGCGTTCAACTCCCGCCCCGTGCCGTGAACCCCCTTCCCGGCCGCGCGCCACGGCCTCACATCTGCCGCTTGATGTACTCCTTGAGCAGCGTCTCGTCCACGGAGTAGAGGGCTCCTCCGTGCGGTGGGGGGTTGGCGCCGGCGGTGGCGCCGCCCACGACGAACAGAGGCTCCGTGCCCACGGCGGGGCGCCCGTTCTTTCCGCCGCCCACGCCGCCCAGGAAAGGTACGACCCCCCCGTAGCGGTGGTCGTAGTGGACTGCGCGAGAGAGAGAGAGAGCGTGAGCGAGAGAGAGCGAGAGAGAGAGAGCGAGAGAGAAAGAGAGCGAGAGAGAGCGAGAGCGAGCGAGAGAAAGCGAGAGAGAAAGCGAGAGAGAGAGCGAGAGAGAGAGCGAGAGAGAGCGTGAGCGAGAGAGAGAGCGAGAGCGAGCGAGAGAGAGAGCGAGAGAGAGAGCGATAGAGAGAGCGAGAGTGAGAGAGAGCGAGAGAGAGCGAGAGCGAGCGAGAGAGAGAGCGAGAGAGAGGGCGATAGAGAGAGCGTGAGCGAGAGAGAGCGAGAGCGAGCGAGAGAGAGAGCGAGAGCGATAGAGAGCACGAGAGTGAGAGAGAGCGAGAGAGAGTGAGCGAGCGAGAGAGAGAGCGAGAAAGAGAGCGAGAGAGAGCAAGAGAGAGCGAGCGAGAGTGAGACAGAAAGCGAGAGCGAGCGAGCGAGGGAGCGAGCGAGAGAGAGCGGCTCCGTTTATAGATTGTCAAGAGCTTTGGATAAACGGCAAAAAAAACAGAAAAAACGCGACGGAACGCACAAACAAAAACAAATTCGCGAAGATCATGAGTGGACGACATGAGCTCCCGGCACGCGGAGCGAAACGTCGGACACCACTCCCGAGCGTTTACCGCGGGGGTTCCCTCGGCCCCGGGCCCTCCCCCTGGCCCGGCTGCCCCTCCCCCGACCGCGGTAGGCCCCTCCGGCACCGCCACCACCGCCTCCCCGCGCGGAGCCAGCATCCTCCAGCCCTTCGCTGCGGCGCCAGCCTGCGGCGGAGGTGGGGGCGTGAGAGAGACGTATATGTATGTACAGCCAATCATCGATTATCTGGCACCGCGCGATTGTCCGGCAGCTTCCAAAATTATCCGGCGGTCCCGGGCCAATCCGGCGAAACCGACAAAACCGTTCCAAGGGCTGAACCAGTCCAGGGATCGTCAAACACATGGTTGTGTCGAAAGAAGAGCGTAGTAGCACTACGCACGTCACCCCGTGATGCAGAGCCTTCGAGACTGGAGTGGTAAGGACGCTACAGTAAAGTCACTTTAAACAGTGGGATGTTTATTTTTATATGTATCCATTTCTATATGTATCCATAAGAGGTTTTTGGGGTTAGATCACGTAAATATATAAACGTGTCGTCCAAACCCGCCACCACCCGACACAGCCAACTAGTAAGGGTCATCACGTAAACAGAACGTGGCCAAAACCGCTCCAAAGGCCATCGGCACTGTGTGCGTGGCAAACAAAGTAACTACGCTTGATTTCAGTTTTAAATATTATGTACGGTACATGATACACTCCATACAACAACTTAAACAATGACAATACTGCACGTGTACACATCTTTCATGACTAATAACTACGGTGATAAAAACAATACAGACGGTGCGATCCGGCAAAAAAGTGCGTCGTGTTATTTGGCGTTCGCCGGAGCACTGCTCTCAAGGCTGCATCAGACCGGCGATCGTCAAACACAAGTGGTTGTATATTCTTGGTTCTTTCGGTAAAGTCACGTTGAAGGGAAACAATAAATAATAAAAAATATATAAAACAATATATTTTATTATTTTATTGTTTCCCTTCAACGTGACTTTACCGAAAGAACCAAGAAAATGAATCACTGCCGTCACGAAAGCTTTAAATCGCAAGTGGTTGTGTTGAAACAAGAGCGTAGTGCCGCTACGTACATCACATGATGCAGAGTCTTCGAGATCGGAGTGGTAGGTACGGTACAGTAAATACAGTCACTTTTCACAAGAGGATATTTATTTTTCATAACACAGGTTTTTTTGGGGAGGGGATAGATCGCGTAAATATATAAATCTGCCGTTATACCGGCCACCACATGGCTGTGTCGGGTGGTGGCGGGTTTAATGATACATTAATATATTTACGTGATCTAACTCGAAAAAACTGTGTTATCGATGATATCGGTCGCGAAAGCCTAAGTGATATTTATTTTTGCCTGTATGTATTTTATTTAAGCCAATTTAATAGAGTAAACACACCTAAAAACATTTCATACAAGAATATCCGACGCACACTTACCCCCCCCCCCCCCCCCCCCCGAAGCCGACGGATAATTATCGACTGCGAGTTGAAGTTCGTTCGCACCGTGCGTAGCCAACCGCACGAATCGGAGGTGCGGGGGAAGGACAACAAACTAAACACAACAACAACAACAACAAGAAGCAGTTCTCAACAAATGAGTTTTCAATCTAGATGTTAATATTACTGTCGTTTGCATTGCATTTTTTTGAGCTCATTGATATCAAGTGTTAATTGTCTTTGTTGTTGATTACATATAGCTGAAGCTATGTATACACCTATATATGGTGTGTATATACACGCACTATATATGGTATACATACACGCACATAGTGTACATAAACACGCACATAGTGTACATACACGCACATAGTGCAAATACACCCACATAGTGCAAATACACGCACAGTGCAAATACACGCACATAGTGTAAATACACGCACATAGTGTATATACGCACATAGTGTATATACGCACATAGTGTATATACACGCACATAGTGTAAATACACACACAGTGTAATACACACGCAGTGTAAATACACACAGTGTACATACACACAGTGTACATACACACAGTGTACATACAGACAGTGTACATACACACACAGTGTATATACACGCACATAGTGTATATACACGCACATAACAACAACCGCCATTCGCCACTAAGTGGCGGTGACGTCACCACGACGCTTGTGCCAGGCTATGTGCACCCTGAGGCCACGTGAAGTGTCGAACGCCCGCTGGCAGGAGGTCACGGGGCAGACCCAGCAGGTGCCACGGGTCGACTGACTGAGATGACTGGCTGATGCACCACCTGTGCCCCCTACTGTGCCAACCTGCTGTGCTTTAGCCACCCGGCGCTCCGCTCGTTGTTGTGAGTGTCGCTCCTCCGCCCTCCGTTGTTGTTGGAGGGCGACTACCTCCAACTGCCCAGTAGTGTCCTTCACGAGCCTCCTCCACAGAAGCCGATCTTGACACCGCTGGTACCAGTCATCGGCAAGTCCACTCAGCTCCACGTCCTCCTGTACCACATCACTCCATCTCTTGTCTAGCCCGTGCCGCGCCCGTTTAGCCCCCTCACTCCGGGCGAACAAAAGCTGTTTCGGCATGCGGTGGCTGGGCATGCGGGCTACATGACCCAGCCTCGCAGCCTTGCCTGCCGGAGGAGCTCACCGATGGCACCTTGCCCAGATCTTTCAAGGATTTGTGAGCTCCTCACACAATCCAGCCTGGTTAAACCCAGGATGAATCGTAGTCAGGCTAGCCTAAATGTTTCTAACCGGCGAAGATGTTCCATTAGGGGGGTCCACGTTTCGCAAGCGTAGAGAAGGGAGGGAATGACCGTGGCCGAGAAGACCTGAAGCTTAGTGCGGAGCGACAGACCAGGTAGCTTCCACACAGCGTTACGCAACCGATGAAAAGATATTGCCGCTCGACCGATTCGGAGTGAAACCTCTGCTGTTAAACTGGAGCCGGTCATAAGCACACTGCCCAGGTATGGGAAACTCTCCACTCTCTCCACAACTGTCCCATCGCCGATTGGGAGTTGTGGGGGTGGAGTGTCCGATGGTACAAAATACCCAGGCAGGTGCTTAGTTTTGGTGGGGCTGATGGTAAGGCCCCATCTCTTAGTGGCACGCTCCAGTCTCAGCAGCAGCGTCTCCAACTCCTCCTCTGAATGAGCAGCTATTACCAAATCATCGGTATACATAAAATGGTTGAGCAATAGGGAGCCATCCCTTGACCGCACCCAGGCATCGATCAGCCTCCCATTATATCTGTACCATATGGAGATACCCCCGGTACAGCTATTGAAGGCTTCACGAACTACGTGGTCAAAATAGATGTTAAATAATGTGGGAGCCAGAGGACATCCCTGTTGCACCCCAAGGTGTACAGGGAATGGCTCTGACTCCCGGCCACGTAGTTTTACCCGGGCTCGCTCACCATCATGAAGGTCCTTAATGATCATGAGCAGAGGGTCAGGTACTCCAAAAGCACGAAGAACAACCCAGAGCCCAGGCCTACTGATGGTATCATAGGCCTTGACCAGGTCAATAAAGCAGAGCTGTAGGTCTTGCTGGAATTCCCTACACCTCTGCTGTAGCAGACGGACAGAAAATATGGCATCTGTGCAGGACCGCCCTTTCCTGAAACCGCATTGGGGATCCGCAAGCCTCTCCTCAGCGTGCCTGGCAAGGCGTTGTTGAATAATCCTTGCCAGGACCTTTCCCGGCACACTGAGGAGTGAGATGCCCCTGTAGTTGTTACAGTCTGTGCAGTCCTCCTTCTTAAAGAGGGGGACCACCAGGGCATCCTTCCAATCCTGTGGAACCCATCCAGTGGTCTATACTGTTGTTATGATGTCATATAGGGCAGTCTGTGCACGAACGCCACCCTCCCGCAGCATTTCGCTTGGGAGATCATCTCTGCCCGCTGCCTTTCCTGGTCTCAGACTCCGGATCGCCTTCAGTACTTCCTCAACAGATGGCACTTCAGCCAGCCACTCACAGGGGGTGACTTCTTCCAATATTTGAGGCACCGCAGCCTCAACAGGGTCATCCTCACTTTGTGCCACGATGTTTTCCTGGCTGAGGGATTTCCCCTCCCCCAGGACCTCACAGAAATGCTCAGCAAATCTGCAAACCTGTTCCTGGGGGTCGGAGATTGGATCACCGTTTTTTCCCCTAATGATGGTAATAGGTGTGGCGCTGCAGGTTACTTTTTTGATGGGGTTAAATAGAGATTTGTGATCGTGGGCCACTGAGGCAGACTCCATCTCCTCAGCAACCCGCGACCCTCATATACACTCTATGTGTGTGCGTATACACACATATATACACTCTATGTGTCTGCATATACACACACACATATATATACACTCTATGTATGTGCATATACACACACACACATACACTCTGTGTGTGTGCATATACACACACTGTACAGTAAAACCTTGGATTGCGAGCATAATTCGTTCCGGAAACGTGTTTGTAATCCAAAGCAACTCGTATATCAAAGCACTCGTATATCAGTTGTGATCACGTGACGCTCAGCAAAGCATCTATACGTACTACTTGTATTACAAGACCTCACTCGTTTAACAAATTAATATTTATTTAAAATGTTTGCTCGTCTTGCAAACCACTCGCAGACCAAGTTACTCGCAATCAGGGGTGGAGCCAGGATTTTGACTTAGGAGGGGTGGGGGGGGGGCTGACTTCAGTATTCTGAGATATCCAGTGTGTAATGTTTTCCAATGGGCGCCACAAATGTATAAAACAAATTTTATTGGATTTGAACGCGGAGTTTATTAATAGGTCGGAGCCGCTAATGCGGCCAATAAGTTCGATAAGTTCGAAAGGCTGTCGCTCAAGCAGCCTGCAGGGCAACACAAGGTGGCAGCCTGCAGGGCAGCACAAGGTGACAGCACAAGGTGGCAGCCTGCAGGGCAGCACAAGGTGGCAGCCTGCAGGGCAGCACAAGGTGACAGCACAAGGTGGCAGCCTGCAGGGCAGCACACAAGGTGGCAGCCTGCAGGGCAGCACGAGGTGGCAGCCTGCAGGGCAGCACGAGGGGGCAGCCTGCAGGGCAGCACGACGTGGCAGCCTGCAGGGCAGCACACAAGGTGGCAGCCTGCAGGGCAGCACACAAGGTGGCAGCCTGCAGGGCAGCACAAGGTGGCAGCCTGCAGGGCAGCACAAGGGGGCAGCCTGCAGGGCAGCACGACGTGGCAGCCTGCAGGGCAGCACGAGGTGGCAGCCTGCAGGGCAGCACACAAGGTGGCAGCCTGCAGGGCAGCACACAAGGTGACAGCCTGCAGCATTTTGTAGCAGCCGGATATCCGGTTATACCGATTACCGACTTTCCCAAAATTTCAGGGGGGGCTCAGCCCCCCCCCCTGTGGCACCGCCCCTGCTCGCAATCCAAGGTTTTACTGTATATGGTATACATACACACACTATATATGTTGTATATTTACACACGTAGCCGGGTCGAGCCCTTGCCACTCTTTCACCGCTACTGCTGCAGTCACCGTCTCTCTCTCTCTCTCCGGACATCCCCCAGAACCGTAATGCGCTCCCCCCCCCTCGCCCCACTCCCCTTGATAAACGTTTGCACTTTGTGCTTATATAGTTTATTTATGTTTACCAACTTGCATACCTTTCCTACACTTTGCACTCCTATGCTATTTATTTCTGGTGCTGTTTTGTTGTTTGTGACTTTAAGACACCCGCCGCCCCCCTGCTGGACATCAAAACAAAGAGCTTCACGGCTCATCGGATTCTTCCTGCAGTCTAAATAAAGATTCCGATTATCTCTCCAACCCCCCGCCCCCCCCTCCACAGCAATTAGTCCGGCTTGCAGGCGTTTCACTGTAAATAAAAAAACGTCGTCTTGCGGCCTACTGGCTACAATGAATCGATCCGCCGAGCGGCCACGCTGCGAACGTGAGCGTAACCGTGCCGCTCCTTGAGAACATCGCCCCCCCCCCCATCCCCGGCCCCCCCCCCCCCTCCCCCCGCGTCGTACTCTTGGAGTCGTCCGGTCTGCGAGGGGCGGCCGAGTCGGAGGCCGATCGTCCGGTGCCACCGCGCTGACCTCCGCTCTGCGACCGCAATGGCCCGTCCAGGCTCAGCGGAATCCACTTCTGCTTCCCTCCTGCGGGGGACAAACGGCGAGGGGATTGAGCGGGGCGGGGGGCGACCATCAATCGCCCAGCCGAGGCATGCGAGTGGCCACGGCTCGCGAGCGAGCGAGCGCTGCGAGACCCGAAAACAAGACGTTGGTTTTCAGGTTCCATTTTGCCGTTCAAAACCATCATTCAACGGTTACAATTATTAAATTTTTGTTACCAGGTGAAGCCTCCACCGAGCTATATAGCTCTGTTTTAAAAGCCGACCCGGCCATAAATGGCAGCTCAACGGAAGTGGCTTATCACGTGGACATTTATAGCAGCCAAATAATGTGAACACACGTCGATTCTAAATGCATACCTGTCAACCCCTTATCAGTGCCTACCTTATCACAGACCAATTCAGACCTCATTGGTCACCCCGTGCCCTTATAAATCTCAACGTTCATCCTACAAAGTCTCATCACAAGGGCGAAACACAAATAGACATTTTTTTTTTTGCTCGTATTGAAACGACTGTACGCCGTATGAACCTGAAAACTTCATTTCCCTGTACAAGAATACGGGTAGACAGTATGGGTTGACACGGTATGTAAATGTGGAGCGAAAAACCAGAGGACCTGGAGAAAAGTCCACGTCACCACGGGGAGAGACGTGCAAACTCCATGACAGGTTTTTTTTGCCGTGTGTTAGAACGCGTAAATATAAACGTGGATAACATTGGTCGCGAAAGCCTACGTGTTAAAATGCAAACTCCAAATATACAGCAGGCGTCAAGGGTCAGGAATCGAACCCACGACCCTCCTGCGTACCCGGCGAGGGAGCTGACATCTCATGAACGTCAAAGGGGAGAGTTTTCTGTACGAGCAGTTTAGACTTCACACCGCTCTGGACTCTCCTCCCCCCTGCTCAGGGTATACACGGGGCAGCCCGCTTGACAATCCACTGCTAGATGAGGACCTCCCAACAGCTTGTGTCACTCACGGGGGTTGTTTGGACGTTCTACAACCTGCTCAGAACAGCAGAACCCCCGCCCCTCTGAACGACGGTGATTGGTTCCACGAAACCGTTCGTTTTTAGTTGTTAAGCAAGGCAAGGAAATGCACTTTAAAGGCTTAATTCGTTCCGATAGCATCTAAAATTACCCCAATTTCCACCCGAAAAATTGACTTTCTAACATTTATACAATGGACATGAATACATAAAGATACTAACAACATTACAAACACATACTAGTAAAATAAAGATGGCTAATAAATGCATTAATTAATATTTACTGTGCCGAAAACAGCCAGTCGCTAACAAGGGAATGGTCGGTAAGCGAACACATTTGGTTCTATGGAGGCACTACACTACACTATACACTACTATACACTATACACTACACTACTATACACTACACTACTATACACTACACTACTATACACTACACTATACACTACCATACACTACTATACACTACACTACTGTACACTACACTACTATACACTACACTATACACTACACTACTATACACTACACTATACACTACACTATACACTACACTACTATACACTACACTATACACTACACTATACACTACACTATACTATACACTACGCTACACTATACACTACTATACACTATACTATACACTACGCTACTATACACTATGCTACTATACACTCCGCTATACACTACGCTACTATACACTACGCTACTATACACTACGCTATACACCACGCTGCGCTACTATACACTACGCTATACACTACACTATACACCACGCTGCTATACTATACACTACACTACTATACACTATATTACTATACATTACACTACTATACACTACACTACTATACATTACACTACTATACACTACACTACTACACACTACACTACTATACACTACACTATACACTAGTATACACTACACTACGCTACTATACACAACGCTGTTATACACCACGCTGCTATACACTACGCTACTATACACTACGCTACGAGACACTACGCTACTATACACTACACACTACATACTACACTATACACTACACTACACATTGGGCTCTATGGAGGCACGCCGTTAAGCGATTAGTCGTTAACAGGGGGTGATCGTTAAGAAGGTTTCTACTGTTGGGGAAAAACACAGAAACGTAGTGTGTCACTTGTTTTGCCTGCATAGGTGTGTGCGTGTATACACACGTGGGGAGCAGTGGTGTAGGGGTTGGCATGCTGCCCTACTAACCCAGACACCCGAGTTCGAGTTCGGCTCACCGCCAACACCGGTGACGATTATCTGAACCGGTCCTGGGCCTCCCCTAGGTCGACGTAGCCTCAAATGAGTACCCGGTGAAGCGGTGTGTAAACATCGCCACTGGGGAGACAAAGGCGGCCGGGAGTGGTGCTGGCCACCCACCCCCTCGTGTGCCGTGCCTGCCTTCATAGGTGCTACTCGCTAACAGCACTTGCCCCCAGTCTGTTCAGCCTACACGGGGCATCTTTGTCGTGCGTGAACTTCTGGGGTGGAGCGGTGGCATTAGGTTTGCACGTTATGCTACAAACTTTGGCGGCCGTGCCGTTTCCAGTTATCCTGTAACGTGCACCGACGCCTCTCCTTTACCGAGGGCGATAACGGCACGTAAAATAAAGGTTCACCGACAATTCGATTCCCGCCCGCAACCTCCCATTGGCGGCAAGTGACACCCGAAACCAGTCATGGGCTCTGCCCCCCTTCGCAAGCCCACACGAGGCGATGGCGGCAAAGCGTGGTTCACAACCCCACCCCGCGAACCACGAGGCAGGCCCATTTCAGATTCCGCCGTTATTTGGTTCCCGCGATGTTCATTTCGCAAGCGCGCCATTTCTGTTTTCACTACGCGAAAACAAGAAAAATCCCCTTCGGCATGCTTTTTTTTTCTGCCCCAGCACCCGGGGAAGAAGGCGAGCGCGCAGACACACACACACACACAGGGAGCGCTGTGTTTGTGCGGTTTCCACGCAAACAGACCTTGCTTTGGGGACAGACCAACAGATTCTCACAGACGGGCGAGCGTGCGCAGCAACACGTGCGCTAGCAATTGATGAATAACCCATTACAACGTGGCTTTGTGGGGCTGGGTCATGTAGCCCGCATGCCCAGCCACCGCACGCCAAACAGCTTCTGTTTGGCTGCATAGAGGGGGCTAAACACGGGCACGGCACGGGCTAGAGAACAGATGGCGTGATGTGGTACAGGAGGACGTGGAGCTGAATGGACTTGCCGATGACCGGTACCAGCGGTGTCAAGATCGGCCTCTGTGGAGGAGGCTCGTGAAGGACGCCGCTACTGGGCAGTTGGAGGCAGTCGCCCTCCAGCAACAACAACGGGCAGAGGAACGATGCTCACAACAACGAGCGGAGTGCCGGGTGGCTAAAATGCAGCAAGTTGGCACAGTAGGGGGTACAGCTGGTGCATCGACCAGTCATCTCAGTCAGCCAACCTATGTCACCAGGGTTTGTCCCGTGACCTCCTGTGAGCGAGCCTTCGACACTTCACGTGGCCTCAAAGTGCACCTAGCCTGGCACAGGCACCGTGGTTGACGTCACCGCCACTTAGTGGCGAATGGCGGGTATTGGTATTGGTCTGAGAGTGTGAGGAGCGGTGGTGTAGCGGTTAGCGCGCTGCGCTACGAACACGGCGACCTGAGTTCGGCCAACGCCGGTCATGATTATTTGAACCGGTTCTGGGCCTCCCCTAGGTTGACTCAGACTCAAATATGTACCTGGTGCGGTGTGTAAACACTGCCACTGGGGAGACAAAGGTGGCCGGGGCGTGGTGCTGGCCACCCACCCCCTCGTGTACCTTGCCGGCCTTCATAGGTGCTCGCTAACAGCAATTGCAACAATCTGTTAAGGGTATATGGGGGATCTTTGTCTTTGTGGAGGTGTGCAAGCTTCTGGTCCTGCAGAAATTCGTGAACACCGACAACACAGGTGGTCTTACTGAATTCAATCGTTCATTCCGGCCCTTTTTATAAAACCAAGTGAGAGCCATGGGATGGCCGGGTGGCTCACCGAACTTTACAGAGCAAAGCCGACACTGCTCAGATCTCGGATTTTAATCCGAGTCTTCGTCCAACGCACGCGTGCGACTAAAACGGAATCTCAAGTCTACCGAGTTGCTGGCGTCGCGCAGCCTGGTCACGAACATCCAAGCACGCGGAACAACCGATCGCGTTAAATGCGGTTCTACGCTTTTAATTCAGCTAAATCCCACCTCCGTGACTTAACGTTGGCTGTGACCGACACACACAACACATAGGGCTGGTGGGAGAGAGAGAGGGGCGCGTCCGGAAGGATCACAGAGGCAAGCTCGTAAGCCCTTCGCCGAGGCCGCGTTCCAACACGATGGCTTGCGACAGCTCCACGAGAGTGAGGACATGGTAGACCAGAGAACGGCCAAAAAGGCGAACAGGGCTATAAAAAGGGTCTAGATGTCATCGGAGCCAATTCCAAGCGATGACACCCACGGCTCCCTGTCCTGTCTGGGCCGCCTTCCTTTGTCTTTGAGCTGATCGCCTTTGGCGTTGTGCCCTGGTCTCCCGCTGGTGGTGGGACGAGGCCATAAAGGAGGCGGTACCGCTGGCGTAGGCCAATCAGTTTCAAGGACAACGGGGAAACATTACCATCAACACGTGGTTTCCTTGCATGTTTTACCACAAGCGTGTGCGGTTAATGCAGACTTTATGCATTGCGACAGGTTGCCCCTATTTGGTGATTGAACATCTTAACACCTCCTGTATTCTTGCCGGAAAGGGTACAGCTTTTTTTTATTTTAATCATCCTAATACTGGCAAAAAAAAAGGGTCCCATAGATGGAATGTCAGAGATCCACCTCCTCCATCATCATCGCCATTGTGATCGAATTCCACCACCTCCACCATTACCACCGTCAAAGTGGCGAGATGTTTACTACCTCACCCGGTATACAGGAGGTCGTCAGTTCAATCCCGACCCTGACGCTTGCTTTATATTTGGAGTTTGCTTGTTTCTCTCCTCATGGTCGCTTGGATTTTTCTCCAGGTCCTCTGGTTTTTCCCTCCACATGTACAAACATGCATTTAAAGTATTTCATACCAGTCAAACCATACAGTTTACCCGTATTCCTGTACAGGGAAATTGAGTTCTTAAGTCCATACGACATACAGCCATTTCAATACAGGCAAAACATGTGTTTTGTCTATTTGTTTGTGTTTCTCCCTTGTGATGGGACTTTGTAAGATGAACGTTGAGATTTATAAGGGGCACGGGGTGACCAATAAGGTCTAAATTGCTCTATAAAAAGGTAGGCACTGACAAGGGATTGACAGGTTTGGGGTATTTGTCTGCGATACATTTACACGTGATGAGCCTATATAGTTCAGTGGGCCTTACCTGGTAAAATAAAAAAGTGTGATAGTTTAGTTTCACCACCATCAATGCTGCGACCTCCATCTTCATTACCACCAAAATCATGATACCATTTAAAAATACAAAGACAGATCCCCTGTGAAGCCATATTTGGCTGCGATGCATTTCCACGTAATGATGATATGCCACTTCGTTGAGCTATCAATTGCATACCTGTTAACCCATATGGTTTTCCCGTATTCTTGTTCAGGGAAATTGAGAATTCAGGTCCATACGGCATACAGTCGTTTCAATACGGGCGCATTTTTTGTTCATAATAAAGTTTTTTTGGGTTAGATCGCATAAATATATAAATGTGTCATTAAAACCCGCCACCACCCGACACAGCCAACTAGTAAGGGTTGTCACGTCAACAGAACGTGGCCAATTCATCACTAGTACAGCACTAGTGTGTAGTGTATAGTGTAGTGTATAGTGTAGTATACTAGTACAGCACACCGGTGTGTTGGAGGGCCAAGCCACAACATTTACAATCGGAGTACGACGTTTCGCCAGTAATTGCAACTAGCTTCACCAGGCGACAGCCAGATTTGTGGAGAAGTCCACCTGTTTTGTTCCTTACATAGAGGCGTAGATGTGGTGACCACACTTCTGTGCTCTTGCGCAAAATGGGGGGGATTAATGAGTCAACGTACATTATGCACGTGGATTATTCGAGCCCTTTGATCTTGTCCTTCCTGTCTATTGCGTGTATTAACATAGCCGTGCCAACGATAATCCCTATTGAAGTATGCTGCCCTTTATAGGCATGCATTTAAATAATGTGTTATTTGATGATTCGCTTCCATGCAGCACCAAGGCGGTAGCTATCCGAACGGTTAAAATTATTTCATTTCTTTCAATTTCGATAGATTATCTAATTAGTCATGGCCAGTAGTAGCTTGTTTTGCACAGAACTTCAACATTATTAAAATCAATTGAGTGTCCTTGTTGGCACGCGTGTTCTGCTGCTGCTGACAGTTGTATTTGGGAGTATATCATATTTATACTCTTTGGTTCTTTCGGTAAAGTCCACGTAGGTATAAAATAAAATAAATCACGACGTTTTGGGCGCAACACAAGCGTCCATCATCAGGTGGGAAAGCGTGGTCTGATGATGGACGCTTGTGTTGTGCCTGAAACGTGGCGATTTATTTTATTTTATCTACCTACGTGACTTTACCGAAAGAACCAAAGAGAATGGATTCCTGCAGTCACAAAAGCTTCAAGATATTTCATATTTCTCCGATGTTCTTTAAGTCTTGTGCTGATCATTTGTCCTATTTGCCGAACATAACATTTTCCACATGTGCAGTTAATCCTGTACACACCTTCTGTTGATAGCTTTGGTAATACATCTTGTATTGTACCAGATCATAATTTCTGGATTTTATGTACCGTGCAAAATCTGGCTCGGATGTTTTGTTTTTCCAAACATCTGGCTAGTTTATCAGTTACTCCCGCAATGTACAGTATTTTAATAGTTTTAATTACTTGGGCAGTTTCGATGCTCGTGTTAGTTGATTTGGTTTTGGCATTTAATGCCCTGTTGATTTGTAAATCATTCTAACCGTTCATTTGCAGCACTTCTTTAACATGTTGAAATTCACTTCTCAGACTGTCACCATCTGACACTTTCTTAGCTCAATGATGGATGGGTTTTGCGAGTTGACATGATTTAGAAATTTGCTCAGTGCATCTTTGCTGTGTGGCCAGACCAAACAATGTGTCATCCACATATCTAAACCAAGCAGAGGGTTTTAGTGTGCTTGAAGCTATTGCTTTTGTTTCAAAATCTTCCATGACACAAATTCGCTATCACGGGAGACAAATGAGAGCCCATTGCTGCTCCTTCCTTTTGTTTATAGAGGTCACCTTGCCACAAAGAAATAGGTGTTCTTTAGAAAGTGTTCAGCTCGTCTTGAGACATATTTGGCTAAACCTTTGTTCGTTACCCACTTTGCGCAAGAGCGCAGAAGTGTGCTCACCACATCTACACCTCTATACAAGGAACGAAACAGTTAGGCTTCTCCACAAATCTGGCTGTCACCTGATGAAGCTAGTTGTAATTACTGGCGAAACGTCGTAGTCATCGCCACTGGGGAGACACAGCCACCTGCGTCTCCCCAGTGGTGATGTTATAACACGGCGCACCAGGTACTCATTCGAGGCTGAGTCCACCTAGGTGAGTCCCAGGACTGGTTCAAATAATCCTCATCGATGTTGGCCGTGAGCCGGTTTCAAAATTCGGCTCGCCAGGTTCGGAGCGCAGCGCGCTAATCGCTGCGCCACCGCTCCTCACAGAACCGACGACACAACGATCTCCCCTACACCATCAGAACCACCACCGTGGAAACCCCGACCACCACGACGATGATCGACACCACTTCCATCACCACGACCATCAAAACTGAGCCTCAACACCCAGTGGTTCCCAACCTTTCTCAAGCCACGAACTCTCAACAAACCCTCGACATTTTCTCACGGACCGCCACGCGCCGATACCAGATTTTGTTTTTTTGTTAATTATCAAAACAACTCCTCCCATCGTAGTTTTGGCCCCAGTTCCGTGCACCGCTTCCCACGACATAGTGGTTTGCGTGGCACAGGCCGGGAACCACTGCTCTACGCCATCAGAATCGCCGGCACCACCGGCGTCACATACATACGTATGTTGAACTTCTTTCACACCGTACGTAGCCAACCGTTAATGGCGGGGGAAGGACAACAAACTAAACACAAAAAGCAGTTCTAAAGAAATTAGTTTGTTAATCTAGATTATGATTTCAAAGTGCGTAGCTCCAGTGGCTTCCTAATATCGGAAGGAAGAGCGTTCCAGACGGCCGCAGCAGCGCATCTGAACGCGCCGCGCGATGCCGTGACCACCGTCTTTGCTCGACGGTTAGCCAGAAAGCCGCTGTTTCTGCGAGGATGACCGGATTTCGCGCGATGATGCTTTATGCTCCCTGACGTGATCAGCGAGGTCACCTCTCCTGCGTGCCACGGGCGAGCGGGGCTGCTTGGCGTCCTCGCGAGCGTCCCGAGCGTCGCGAGCGTCGCGAGCGTCCCGAGCGTCGCGAGCGTCGGCTCCGTCGAGGCGAGCTTCGTCGTCGCAGTCGGCGGCCACGGTGGCGGAGACGGCCACGGCGGCGACGCTCTCGGGCTTCCGCTCCCTGCGCGTCGCCTTGTCCGGCGGAGCCTGCGGCAAAAACAAGGGCGGCGCGGCCGCTCGCTCGGGCTCATCGGCGCGACGGGCGAAGCCGACGTCTGAACAAGAAACAGCATCACGCGGATCTTCGCAATCAGCCGAGCTCGTGGGTATGCCCTCGCGCCGGAAGCCGAGTGCCGGATACGAGCCCGCGGTGTTTTTACGGATTCTCACGACTCAATGGGGCGAAACAGTGTGCCCCGCAGTCGAATGCACCGTCCCAATTCAGGGCGGTGAAAAGTATTTTCCGTCTCATTTGCCGATTTGCTCCATCAGGTTATAATACATAATTATGTTTAATCACTAATTTGTTACGCCTACATGATCATCAGTTTACAGTTAGAGCTACGATGTGGCATGGCAATTTTGTTGTTGTTTTAAATGTACGCCCCGAGAGGGGTACAGGGGAAAATATCAATAAGTTCAAGGGAAAGATCACGACGTTCCCGACAAGAAAGAAAGCACCAAGAGGTAACCTTCGCCTCCGTGACAAGATGACACAGCCTTCCTTCCTTACAAGTCTCACGCAGCGAGTGTGACGGTGCGCGCAGTGCCGTCAATTCTCACGGCGCACGACCCCAAGACGCACGGGGGCGGTTGCGTGGATTATGAGTGGAGTAAAGAATGGACTTTTATGGGATGAAGCCATCTGTCTGCTTGCCTTGTCCTGGTATGAAACCCAGCCCCCCCCACCTCTGAGACGACGATCTCCCCGAGTGTGGGCCAGCTGGCGACGTCTTCCAGGTCACCGCCGCCCTGCAGAGACAGACGGCGCGCGCACAACGGGGACGGCGGGGGTGGAGGGGGGGTGGAGGCAAAGCAGACGGGAGTTCGCCGGTTGTTGCGAGCGAACTCGCGCCATCTCAAACGCCGGCCTGCGCCGACGGACTAAACGCCGGACAAACCGCGTGGTATTCCTTCAATTGGGGCCACACACACCCTGCCGAATAATGAAAGTTCAACTGTGTGGAAGGAGGTCGGCCGGCCCAGGCCCAGGCCGGCCCCAGAGGTCAGAGCGCTGAGCAGGCACCGCTGGGATCCGGGGTTTCAAATCTCAGGCTCCGGCCACCTGTGATTGAACCGGTTTCTCGCGAGTGGCGAGTGGGATCGTTACGGCCCGGTGAGCAATAACTGTGCAAACAAAACATTAAAAATGGCTCTGCACTTAATTTATCCGAGTTCAAGGTCTGACAATGACAAATATCGCTTTGGCTGCCACGCGACGAGATGGGTGAGGAAGTCCTGCCCCCCCCCACGCGGTGAACTAAAGGTCAATTGAAAGGAGCTGTGGGCCATTCTCTAACACGTATGTATTTATTATCTTGAACTTGTTTCCAAACCTACGTAACCAACCGCGTTAATCAGAGGTGCAGGCGAAGGACGACAACTGATCAGCGAAGGATCTGCACAGAAACCTCGTGTCATGACATTGATGCCGAAAGTACAATCGAGGAAAGCCAAAATAAATTACAAGACTTTGTGGATGCTGGAAAACATTTGTCCCATGGCCCTGTGAGCCCCTGGACCTGGTCCCAGTGGAGGCAGCAGCAGCAGCAGTGGTGGCAGTAGCAGCAGCTGGCTCTTCCTGTTTTCTATCACCATCAGTGTGTCACACTTGCAAAGTTGAAAAAATGCGCAGAATGGTTCTTTCCATGAATCTGGTTTCATGGTTGTATTTGAGCACCGTGCAAAATCCCCAGATGCAAAAACCTTTGTTGGCCTAGGTTAGTATGTATGTGTGTTTAACTTGGCACAGCAGGGGGTATAGCTGGTGTATTTGCCAGTCATCTGAGTCAGTCAACCCATGGCACCTGGGTCTGTCCCCTGACCTGTCGGCAAGTCTTCGACACTTCACGTGGCCTCAAAGTGCACCTGGGCCTGGCACGGGCGCCGTGGTGACGTCACTGCCACTTCGTGGGGAATGGCGAATATTCGCATGTTGAACTTCTTTCGCACAGTACGTAACCAACTGCGCTAGTCGCAGGTGCGGGCGAAGGACAACAAACGAAACACAACAACAACAACAAATCGGTTTATGGAAATGAGTTTTCAATTTAGGCAACAGGAACAACGACGCTAAATTCAACATTTTTGTTGCGGGTTTCACTGAAAGATGTTTTTTCGTGTCACTGTTGTAAAAGTTACGGACTCGTTGGACGCGAACAGGGCAGCGCCGTTGAGATTGCGAGCCAGCACCACGAGAATTTGAGTGCATTTACCTTGCCCCCTCTCTTGGCCTTCGGCGTCTTCAGCGGCTTGGCATGCGAGGAGAGCTCTGCAAACGGGGGGTGGGGCGGAGACAAGGCAGAGTGATGCGTCACCCCGGTTAATTGGCACTCGTGGCCAATGCCAAGCGAGCAGCTCGCGGGACGACAGGACATGGACGACAAAAAACAGTCGCAGCTTTCACGCAGCCGCCCGCGGCAGCAGAACGAATGTCCAGAGCAGCGGGCGGCGCACCTGCAGCTGGACTGGCTCGGGTGGAGCGGCGGGTTTACAGCCCACGACCTAGCATTGGAAAGGCTGCGACGGCAACTCGCAACTCGAATTGGAACTCGCAAGTTGAACTCGCAACCATTCCAATTCGAGTTGGGTGCTTCACGGAGACAATAACAACGGTACAACAACAACAACGCGCACGCGCGAATGTAATGGTGGACTCCCGCTCACAGCCAACGCCAGTGACGGCTATCTGAACAGGTCCTGGGCCTCCCCTAGGTCGACTCAGCTTCAAATGCCGTGTGTAAACGTCGCCACGAGGGAGACAAAGGTGGTCGGGCGTGGTTGTTGCCCACCCACCCGCCTTGTGTGCCGGCCTTCATAGGTGCTCGCTCACAGCGCTTGCCCGAATAGTCTGTTCAGGCTATACGGGGGGGTCTTTGTGTAAGTCAAAGATGGCTTGGCAGAACAAGCAACGAACATAATTCGATCGGACAGTGCAAACTGGTCGCTTTGGCGAGACAATTTTAGCGTGCCGATCTAACCCCTGGGGGGGTGGTGGGGGGCGGAAAGACGCTTCCCCCACTCCAACGAGTCGTGCTTGCAGCGACAGGTCACCACAACCGGTTTACAGTGAGCGGCTGGGAGAGACGGCATCTGAAAGCACAAGTGGCTTGCTCGTCATGCAAAGCGGCAGTGGCGGCATTTATTCTTCCCTCCACCCATATGGAACTGCCCACTTGAAGTGAAAACAAAGAGGCGTGCGACGATTCAAGTGCTCCCTTCCCCACCCCGGGATCAGAATTCTATGAAACATTGAAGCTCCCCACCCCAACCCCTCTCGTGATAGTTTCACCTCCCAGTTAAATTCTGATGTCACGGGGGGGGGGGGGGGGGGGGGGTCAGAACCCCTTGACTCCTAGAGGGGGGGTGAGATTTTTAACAACCTCGCCTTGTATACAGGAGGTTGTAGGTTCGAACTCGAACCTGACGCCTGCTGTATATTTGGTGTTTGCGTGTCTCTCTCTCTCTCCCCGCGGTCACGTGGATTTTTCTCCGGAGCCTCCAGTTTTTCCCTCCACATTTAGAATCGACGTCACGCGTTGAAGAGCATTTTGCTGCTATAAATTTACACGCGATGACGATGAGCCACTTCGTTGAGCTCCCATTTGTGGCCAGGCCACTTCGTTGAGCCCCCATTTGTGGCCAGGCCACTTCGGAAAAAGAGCTACACAGCTCAGTGGCTCTTTACTTGATAAAATAAAAACAAGTTCAACAGTTTTACATTGTTGTAACGGTATTTTTTTACCCTGCGGTGCATATCGCGTGGTGTTCTGAACCTGGCGTCCAAATTCTGTGGGGTCAAAATACCATCTAGCACTGGTACTACGGCTAGAGCATGATGTGCGTGCATTGTGGGAGCCGGAACTGACGTGCAGTGCACTCTGGGAGCCGACACTGCGGCTCCGTCGCATACGCGGCATTGCATTGCCGGTCAAACGCTCGAGATTCTGGTCGGCGTGTCAGATGCCGATTGGTGACTTCGCTGCCATACGCGGGGGGGGGGGGGGGGGTGGTGGGAGGAAAAAAAAACCCCGATAGCACCGGCGGCGCTGGCAACGAGAGCCCGCCGCTGTTATTGGCGACGCTGCCCTTGAGAACGACCAGGTGGGAAACACACCAGGTGCCGGAAATAAGTGGGGGGTGGGGGTGGAGGTTTGCGGTTCGATCGCGGTGGCCGCCCTGGTTAATAGTGCGGTCGCGTGGATTTACCGCAACAGCGTGCGCGCCGCCGTCTGCATCGCTCGCTACTGGATGTCGGCGGGTTAAATAAATCGCAGAGATTCTGATTCGCGGCAGCGGACGTTAAAATAACCCGTGCAAGAGGTCGTGGGTTCGATCATGACCCTGACGCCTGCTGTATATTTGGAGCTTTGCGGTGCGTCTCTCCCCGTGGTCGCGTGGATTTCTTTTCTCCGGGTCCTCTGGTTTTTACCCTCCACATTTAGAATCAACGTCACGCGTTTGAGAGTATTTGGCTGCTATAAATTACCACGCGATGATAAGCCACGTGGTTGAGCTATCATTCGTGATGGCCAGGTCACTTCTGCCAAAGAGCTATATAGCTCAGTGGGCTTAACCTGGGTAAAGTACAAATTTGTTATTTATTTGTCACGGTTCCTGAGCGCAGTCCCAAGGACCCAAAACGCCAACAGGCGAGCAACAAACGGCACTCTTGAAAGCACAAAGGATGAGCGTCAGAACGTTTCTGGAATTGAGCAACCATAGAAACACTTTGGTAAAGAGAGCGGCAATCCAAAGTCAAGCGATGCGAGGAAGGAAGAGGGAGGAGAAGTGTTGTAACCAGCATGAGCGCACGGTTGGCTACGTACGGTGCGAAAAGAAGTTCAACACACAGCTGTGGTGGTAAAAACACATTCTCCTGCGGAGGGAGCTGGTAGGAACGTTGGGTTGCTCGGTCAATGGCCAGGGTCAACGGCGGCACCACGTGGTGTGTTCCGCACAATATGCCCGACTGTGAGGGCGGGCACAAGCCGGCGTGAGTAGGTTAAACGTTGAGTTTTATAAGGGCACCACGGGGTGACCAGCCCCTCCTCACCCAGCCCCTCCCCACCCTCCCCACCCAGCCCCTCCCCACCCTCCCCTCCCCACCCAGTCCCTCCCCACCCTCCCCACCCTCCCCACCCAGCCCCTCCCCTCTCCACCCAGCCACACCCCTCCCATTTTTGAATGCACGACGGACGGACACAATAATCCCCTGTGGGCTGGTGTAACCAGGAGGTTCCAACCAGTAACAAATAAGTTTAAGCTCATAGTTTAACTCGATGCCGCTGTGCTATCGCCGCGGTGGCTCGCTCCCTTGCTCCGGGGGGGGGGGGGAGTTAATGGCAGGACAGCAACGAGCTGGAAACCGCCGAAATTCTGGGTGCACGTGGGGGATATCATCAGCCTGCTCGGGGGTTCAACGTCGCTCTCAAACATCGGCCAACGCCATTTGAACAGACGCACTTCGTCACATCAACAATGGTGTCTCGGGGACGCCTTGGAAAACGACGACAATGCTCGGGATATCGGCACATCCCCTTTGAAATATCAACAAAGCAATTTATCCGAGGGAATATATTTCTTAAGCAAGCAAAAGCGTTCATTATAATTAAGGCCAGGTACTCCAAACCAAGGAAATTGATCGATGGTCTCAGCCTGCTGATTATTTACGACGCGCGAATGATCCGATTCGGCAAATTATTTCGTGACGCTGCTGCTGCGGTTGGCAGCGATGCGAACAGCACAAACCAACGACAAAACTCAACGCCTTATGAAGGGCATCTAAATAGGTGACGTTTCAGGCAACGGCCCTCCATCGGGGCGCACACGAGAGACGCAGAGGAAAATCAACGCGCGCCGAATTACTTTCGCTTCGCTCGGCGGCTCCCTTAAAATGGGACGGAAACATTCCGGCCTTTGTGGTTTGTCTTTGTAGAGCATGTACAAAGGTGTGCCCCGAGTGTGCACAAAGAGACCCCACCTGGAGTAACCTCGGCAGTAATGGAACAGATAAAGACCACCGTGCTTCCTCTTTGTACATCCGACTCTCTACCCACGTATATAAAAAAAAAATATATAAGAGTGTTCTTTGCTCAACCCATCAGCCCCATGGCTTTCGGGGGAGTGCATCATTTCAGGAGCAGCAGCGGGCTCTGCTTAAACACAATTTCTCTCACGAGCAGTGTCATGCTTTGATTGAATCGATGCTGATTAATTGCCAGACAATATTGGCGGATATGTGATGGGATATGTGATGGAATATTTTATAGAATGTGATCGCATATGTGATCGGATATGTTAAAACATTATAGAAAACGCAAAAAGCCGATATCGCAATTCAAAATGTAAGTGGTGAAAACAAAAACTCGAGTAGAAGTACACAAAAAAATACAGAACCATGCCACTGGATGCACGAGCGATGAAGTCCGCCGCACGTAAAGATTAATCCACCCCTCCCCAGCGATTCAGTGAACCGAACAAGATTCACGATTGCCCTTTGTCTCAATTTTTGACCATCTCATCCGTACCTTTTCATCGTGCTCACGGTCGTCTTCGCTCCCGTTAGCCTCAACGTAACAACAAATGTATTAATCTATATTTGAGGTTTTCGTGACTGCAGGGATCCATACTCTTTGGTTCTTTCGGCAAAGTCACGTGGGTATAAAATAAAATAAATTAAATCACGACGTTTCGATTGCAACACAAGCAATCGTCAACAGGTGGGAAAACCACAGCAATAATAAAGTGTATCGTGCGCGCGTGTAATTTGCATATGCTGTAAATAGTGTTCGATTCTAACGCACGCATGATGTGATGCGTGTATCGCTAGAGAGCTCGCCCAACATGCCGGTTACGTTCCTGGAAAATGCCGCGTTGGGCAAAACCGCGCTCGACAAATACATGGACCTCTTGGGAAACACAGGGGGTCGCGTTCCTGGGTCCAAAATCGTCACCCCCTACCCCCCCCCCCCCCTTTGTTGAATTAATTATACACGAGTTCTGCCAATGTGCTAAAGGATGCCGAGTCGCTCTCCATTGCTCGTGTGTGTGTGTGCCCTCGCTTTACTTCACCTCAACACAAAACCCCGTCTGCATCACTCTGCCCGCACCACGGCACCAATGCCCATCGCTTGCCCTTAAAACTGAATTGTTAAGCCCGACGCTGGCCCCTAACACTGAATTGCCAGTCCGACGCTGGCCCCTAACACTGATTTGCCAGCCCATCGCTCGCCCCTGACACGGAATTGCCAACCTGATGCTGGCCCCTAA